ATTTAAGTTACTTTGCAATTTCTATGAACTAATCAATGTAAACTTCTATCCAAATTCTAATGCTTTGTGTTGTTATTCATGGTTTACTAATGATTTAATGAATGTTTGGAATCCGTTGCAGGCTTACAGCCTCTTTTGAATGCTTTGGACCTTTGACTTTGGGAATAAATTAGTAGTTGTTTTCTCATGTTACTGATGGTCGTCAACCTTTGCTGCTCAAAGCTCATAGATACTGCTACTATCTTAAAGTTTTTCATTATGTTTAAGTTTTGAATTTTATTATAATTTTGGGATTATATGTCAGTTTATGTTTAGCTTTGGATTTTATTAAGATTATAGAATTGTTAAGTTGATTTTCTTTTATGGTTGAAGTTTGGAACATGGATTTTAAGTTTAATAATAAAGTAATTGAGATTTCAAGTTCATTTTTGTTAAGGAAATTTGGATTCAGGAGTTTAGATTTACTTGGTTGAATGATTTTAATGTTTGTTTGTGAAGAAAAATAAAATTATTATTAAAAAATAGTATGAAGCCCAAACCAAGAAACCCGCCCAACCCAACCCCCATAACAATGGGTTGGTTGGATTGGGTTACATTCTAAAAATTACTACCCCAGCCTATTGGTAATGGATGTGAGCGAAAAAACGAAAAACAAAAAAGAAGAAAGTTAGCGGATTAAAGGTGGGGTTGGATGTGTAAATATCAAAAGCTCAGGACCTAGAAACAAATAAATAGAACCTTCTCCAAGCCCTTCGAAATAAACAGCAGAAGGGCAATTTTCCCTCCAAATCGAAGCAATAAGGCAAAGAGGGCTGTTCGGAGAGGGTTTTCACTTCCAGTCCATCTTCTTCGCGAGCGCGCCACGACCTCTCCTTCTCTGTCGCAGCCATCAGCAGACGGCAGCAGCAATGGCGTCGTCTTCTTCTTCGTCAGCCTACGACATGCCGTGGGTGGAGAAGTACAGGCCCACCAAGGTCGCCGACATTGTGGGCAATGAAGACGCCGTGTCCAGAATCCAGGTCATCGCTCGCGACGGCAACATGCCCAACCTCATCTTAGCCGTACGTTTCTCTCTCACTCATTTATGCTCACAATCCAACGTTTTCAATTTTACTAAAGCCCTAAACCCTAGCGGAATGTTAAATTTGTAGCTTGATTATGTGGATTTATTCTTTGTAATTTTGTGTTGTGGTCTGTGATTTGTGTATTCGTTGAGGCAGCGGCCGCTTTTCGCAGAGGTAAAGTCGAATAAACATTGTAGTTTTGAAATTTTGGACTATCATCTGGGCTCAGTTTGGCTTTTGAATATGAGGAGAGGAATGGGGCTTTTTGATTTGGTTGACAATTCGATAAATTTATGCAACATTATTGGAATTTGTCGACTGGAAATTGAAAAGTTGGAGAGAAGATTGGTTAAAGGCCATTCATTGTGTTGGATGCCTGTGTTCTCAGACTCCATGGGTATTCATGAGTTTGAAATTGGGGAAAATTGTGTGCCTGTTCATTAAGAAGAGTGAGGGCTTATATGAACTTGAAATTTCTGTCCGGTTAACTAGAATTTGAATCAATTTGATGAATTGTTAATATTACCCGGAGTGGGAATGAGGTACATGCTAGAAGCAACTTCAGTTTGCTATCAAATTTTACGTCGACAGAAACTTTGGGATCTCATGCTTTAGAAGAGAGATGAAAGTATAAAAACTATTGGCCTGTTTGATAACCATTTTGACTTTGATTTTTTTCGTTTTTATTTTTTGTGCTAGAGATAGAGAGAAAACGAACATGGGAGAAATGATGAATAAAGAAGGATGAAGGGAGGTGGTGGGCGGGAGGAGGGTGAAATGAAGGATCACATTTTTCCACCATCCATCCTTCACACTCTTCGTTCCTCCTTTCTCCTATTACTTTTCCTCTATCTATAGCACAAAAAGTGAACACTAACAACTTATAACAAAATGGTTATCAAATTGTTCCTTATGGCATTATGAAAGACTTCCGCCATACTGAGCTATTAAACTCGTTTGAGTGGTGGTGTTTTGTGTTTGGGGTTATCGATGAACTAAGCGGAAAGGTTATTGTTGCTTAAATTTACTTAACCTATGCCTTGACTGATCACTGTTTATTGTTTTCAGGGTCCTCCTGGAACTGGTAAGACCACTAGCATACTGGCTCTTGCACATGAGCTTTTGGGACCAAACTATAAGGAGGCTGTTTTAGAGCTGAATGCATCAGATGACAGGTGAGTACATAAATGGTCTTGATGGAGTTCAGTTTCTAAACTGTTATTGGCATTTATCATCAACTTATTTACTGTCGTTTCTTCTTTAGGGGAATCGATGTTGTGAGGAACAAAATTAAAATGTTTGCTCAAAAGAAAGTTACACTGCCTTCCGGACGCCATAAAGTTGTCATCTTGGATGAAGCTGACAGGTAACCCTAGTGATATTCTCCATGAAACCAATCTGAAAACTTCAAATTGCTCTTATCTATCTGCCTATGTGTTTAAATTTTAACTTTTTGGTGCATGGCTGTTCATCCTTTTGTCTATTTCTTTCATCGCAGAAAACATATATCTCTCTATTTTATTTGTTCCTACAACATTGTTATTTTCATTACTTCGTTTAAATATTAATTTTTGAGTTTGGCACTGGGTATCGGAAATCCTCTGGGTGTGTATTGTACACAATTCAGCATGACATCTGGAGCACAACAAGCTCTGAGGCGAACAATGGAAATATATTCAAATTCCACTCGTTTCGCTCTTGCGTGCAATACATCTTCCAAAATCATTGAGCCTATTCAGAGTAGATGTGCCCTTGTCCGGTTTTCTAGATTGACTGATGAGGAGATACTTGGTCGCCTAATGATAGTGGTTCAAGCTGAGAAGGTAAAGAAATTTCTCTACATTGTAGTAATGTCATTTTTGCATACTGTCATTAGCTAGCTTCAAATATAAAGAAATATTGGTACAACTTTCCTTAACTATTAGTTTGTATTAATTGTTTTTGATCTGTCTACACTAGTTTATTAGTCAGAGCATATTATTTTTTCTCTGCCAAAGCTTAGCTTTTATGGTGATTCCATTTTTATTTATTTCCCAATCTATTCTACTTTATTTCTTTTCCTCACTACGTCTGGAGCTCGAAATACTGAACTTGCTTAGGTATTTTGTTTATCAGAAGGTTGTTCATTTACTCAACAAAATGACGTTTGCATGTCTTCCTTAATCATTTCCTCTGTCGGTGTGTCTCACTTGCAGCACAACATGGTAACATGTGTTTTAAATCCATTTGTGCTATCATTGCCAAGAGATTGGGAAAAATACCCTTGCAACCAGTTTCTTATCCTTCTAAATTCTAGCAGTCTTAATAGTGGTTTTTACGTTGACATTTGAATTAGCCTCTTTAACTCTAGGGTTGCAACCAGTGTTTGATAAGATATTTAATAATTGTGCCGTCAGATGAAGCTTAATAAAGCATCTCTTTTCTTGGGCTTCGATGTTTTTATTTCCTAGGAATTCCACCCACTTCCTAGAACATATGCCTCACTTGTTGAGCTTCGCTTTAATTTGAGCCTTTCCTTCCAATGATCAAAAGTGGTTTCACATTCTACCATTGCCATGTATACATTATATTTGAAATTTGGGTCGTGTATGATTCATCTGCGTTTGCTGTAAATGAAGGTTCCATATGTTCCAGAAGGTCTTGAAGCGATTATTTTCACCGCTGATGGTGATATGAGGCAGGCACTGAATAACTTGCAAGCTACAAACAGTGGATTCCGGTTTGTGAACCAAGAAAATGTTTTCAAGGTTATACTTACGAAATACTTTTAAATATTCCATTGTTTTGTATGTTCCTTGGTAATCCTAAAGGATTTCTTTTGGTTTACAGGTCTGTGACCAGCCTCATCCGTTGCATGTAAAGAATATGGTGCGCAACATACTGGAAGGGAAATTTGATGATGCTTGTTCGGGTCTCAAGCAGCTCTACGATCTGGGTTACTCCCCAACGGACATAATCACAACTTTTTTCCGTATCATAAAAAACTATGATATGGCTGAGTTTTTGAAACTGGAGTTCATGAAGGCACATATGCACACTATGCAGAGATTTCCCTCTCATTCTTTCTGAGATCTTGTGTTTTGATAAGTCTTTTACTCGTGCGTGTTTGCAGGAAACTGGATTTGCTCACATGAGAATCTGTGATGGAGTTGGCTCGTACCTTCAGATGTGTGGTCTTCTGGCTAAGCTTTCCCTAGTCCGTGAAACCGCGAAGGAAACATAAAAAAAGAAAGTCGTATTAACTACAAGTAGAACCTGCGACTTTTCGATGGTGAATATTTGTATTTAACTGTGGTTTCGATTCAGAAATCGTTTTTTTTTGTCGGGAGAAATGGATTATGTGCAAGTTCTTTGTGTTTGTCTAGAATTGCCAAGCACACTATTAAGTAATGGAAATTTGAAACATGATATTCAGTTTCCTTCAAAGGTATACATGTTACAAGCTACAACGTACTCGTATCTCTCGTATAATTTGGTAGTGGAAGAAATCGAACTCTTGACTTAGCTTAAACCTAATTCTTCCCTACACTCACCTCACCAATTGGGCAATACCCTGAGCCCTGAGGGATTGACTATTGAGTTTAGAGTATCATCCATGGACGGTTTTGTGTTTTGTACGTAGAAGCGTGCTAGAGACAGTTGTTTACACGTGTGAACTATTGAACCGTCTAATGTCTATGCACACTTAGACATACATATATACACAATAACGGTTGAGCCTCAAGATTACAAAATTAAAGTTATAAAACAGTCTCAACGACAGCTGTTTTATCTGTTGAACCGTTTAATTTTTTGGTTTTGTGGTTGTGGGTCTTACAAAACATCAATGGCTGAGCCTCAAGACTACAAAATTAAAGTTATAAAACAGCCCAGTGCTTCCTAAACGGTGTCGTATTGGGATGTTGACGTTAAATTGGGTACCCGAGGCATTAGGGTTTTAGAGTTTGGACAGGTCGAAGATTTTAGCAGAGGAGAGCGAGCAGCAGCAGGGGCGGCACAGAAGCAGCGGAGGAGCAGCCATGGTTCTGAAGACGGAGCTCTGCCGTTTCAGCGGCGACAAGATTTACCCGGGAAAGGGAATCCGATTCATCCGCTCCGATTCCCAGGTCTTCCTCTTCGCCAATTCCAAATGCAAGAGGTACTTCCACAACCGCCTCAAGCCTTCCAAGCTCACCTGGACCGCCATGTACCGGAAGCAACACAAGAAGGTAGAACCCCTAGCATCCGTGAAACGCCGCGTTTTGGTTCGAATCGTTGATTTGTTTGATGGAATGAATGAGGGATATTATTGTAAGCTCATCCGTCCGTGATGTAGGATATTGCGGCTGAATCTGTGAAGAAGAAGCGCCGCTCGACCAAGAAGCCCTATTCGAGGTCCATTGTGGGTGCCACATTGGAAGTTATCCAGAAGCGAAGGACCGAAAAGCCCGAAGTTCGTGACGCTGCCCGTGAGGCTGCTCTTCGGTATGTTTAATTGAATGAATTATATTGATAAAAATGGATTCTGGGTTTTGTTCAACTTGTCCTCTGTTTGTTCATTCACATCTGTGGCTTATATATATAAATTGAATCAAATGATTAAGATTTTGAAAATTAGGGTTTTGTTGTGGTATGCTAACTATGCGTTATGAATTGAATCATTTGATCATGGGGCAATTTGGAAAAGATTCTGCAAACTTCTGCTCATAAGCACTTCTGCTAGAACCAGTTTTGTTAGAAGCATACGAACATTTTAATCACAAATACCAGTGCCAAGAAAAACACCGCATTTAGAATTCAATAGCACTTTCTGCTAGAGGTGTTTTTGGTATCCAGAAGCGCTTTTAGCCTTACCAAAGCATTCCCAGACATACTCTAAGTTGATCAATTATTGGTTTTGTTCAACATGCACTGTTGCTCTTTCATATTTATGTGTATTTGTTAAAAATTCAATCGATTGATTAGGACGAGAAATTCAGTTTTGGGTTTTGTTCAACAAGGACACTGTTAGCTCATTTAAATCTGCGCGTGTGAATTTGGCAGTGAAATTAAGGAAAGGATTAAGAAGACCAAGGATGAGAAGAAGGCCAAGAAGGCCGAATCGGTGTCCAAGTCAAAGGGCCAGTCCAAGGGAAATGTGCCCAAGGCTGCTGCTCCCAAGGCCGCCAAGCTTGGAGGTGGTGGTGGTGGAAAGCGATGAGTTTTCTTCCTCTTCCTATCTTAACAATTTACTCAACTTGTTTTGCTCTGACAATTTAAGTCTTTTCTGGTTTGCATTTTTGTATGGATCAATATTTGCATTGTTGGCCACTAGAATTTTGGATCTTCCTGTTGGGTTTCAATCAAGGAAGAAAATATCGGTAATATCGGAAATATCGGTAGTCCGAAAACACGGAAATATCGATGGAAATATCGGGATAATATCGATATCGATAAAAATTACATGGAAACCACGGAAATTGTAAGAAAAACTTGGAAATTTTTAATGAAACTTTGCAGGATGTTTATTTAGTCAATTATTTATTAGTTTATCACAAAAAATTAGAAGGAAATGCATTGCATGATAGATTTAACTGATTTAAGTTGATTATATAGCGAGCTGGCAAACATTGTGAGTGTAGAAAATATGTAGTAATTAATGAAAGAAATTTAAACACACCATAATCATTTATATATAATTAATTAGTACAATATTGGGAGGTTTTATTTAGGATATTAAAAAAAAAGGGAAGTGAATAAAATGATGAAGAATAATGTGCCGAATTTGACATTTTAAATTTATTACACATAAGCATGCGTCTAGGCGTTGAAATTGCAAATTATAGTATATCAATTAACGATTGAAAATCAATACGTTGAATAAGACTAAACTTTAATTTGGATGCCGATTATGTTTTTTCAAGTTTATATAAAGTAAAAGAATTGAATCTTGGAAGCCAGGAGTGTGTCAATTGTTTTATAATTCGTCCGAATACATATATCAGGTTTCTACTCAACGTAATTTGAAAGTATATTTAGTGCAATAACTTGTCTTTTTTTGTTGATAAGCAAAGGGTTTGTAGCTTTTTTTGCTAAGCAGTAGAACATATTATGTTTGTTTAATCTTTAGCATTTGATGGTTGTCCACAAATATAGGATAGAAGGCCCCAAATTAGATCTGGCTCTTACCTAGTTGGAGTCACAAGTTCACATGTACCAGCCCTTGAGGCAAAACTTTTTGGTTTTCCGGCCAAACCACGGCGACTTGGCCGGCGTGCAAGGTATCAATCTCTTCGTCTCGTCGAGTAGTACAACTTTCCTTTTTGTTTCACTCAATTTCGTTGAGTATTGAAAAAGTTATACTCATTTGAATCTTACCCAGTTTCCGGCGACCTCAGTGGCTTTCGAGGCATTTTCCGGCCAAACCACGACGAGTCAGACGTCGTGTGGGGTACCATTCTCTTCGTCTCTTCGAGGGCTACAACTTTCGTTTTTGTCTTGCTTGATTTTGTTGAGTTTTGACAAAGTTATGGCCGTTTAAAGTGGGTGTGGATTTCCAGCCGAAATTCCGATTTTCCCATTGGGTCGAGTCCCACATCGCCCACGCGAGGGCAGTGAGCAAGCAAGAAGGCCTATAAAAGCCACATTCCCCAGCTGAGAAAAGCATGTCTTGCTCGGCCTTTGGGCTATGATCAAGTGTAGTATGTGTTGAGATTTCTCAGCATTTTTAAGTATTTTTTGGTATTATGTCGCGATATTTTGACGAAAACCATTTGGATAGTTAAAAAAATATCGGACTCCCAAAAAAACGATAATATCGGCAAAATATTGCCGATATTATCGATTTTTTCTTCCTTGGTTTCAATTGCATCACTGAAAGTTGTCATTTTTATTATCATACCTTGAACGTAATAAGTTGTCATTCCAATTAAGTCCTAGATGTCAAACGTAAACCTGTAAACAGGTCGTTTTTATGGGGCTTGGGTCAGTCTCAAACCAATCTGTTAAGTCAACAGGTCGTCCAAACTAACCCATTAAACTAACGGATCACTCAGACCCAACTCTTAAGCTAACGGGTGGTGGGCATGGGTGGTAACACTTTTCAAGGGATGGAGAGGGTTTTTGACAGAAGTACGGTGGATGAAAGAGGAAGATGAGTTTGTTTGGATAAACGGGTAGGGTACAAATTGTCACCTCTAATCAAACTTTGAGAAAATATTGTTGCTTTATTACATGATAATATTTTATTGAATTGAAACAAATGATCAACGTAGCTGCGGTTTTGATTAAAACAAATTAAAACCTTCATTTACGTTTGAAACCCAAAGTTGACCGACGGGTAATTCTTTGATTCTAGTTAGTAAGTGGGATCTTGAACTAAAAATAAATTCTACTAGCTAAAAAAGCCTATCCCGACCAATTTCAATAATCGTTGGTTGATATTCCTAGTACAGTAGATGTAGTTATGTAGTCATGCAAATTGGGGATCTAATTAAAGTGGGGCCGAAGGATTAAAAGGAAAAGTTTAGTGGTTTTGCACGTGGAAGGTTCAAATTTTTTTTTAATTCAAACCTTCGTTGAAAAAGGTTTTGCTAAACATACTTGTTCGTAGACAGAGGAGTGGTTGTGAGTCATTTATTATTGCATTGCGAGATACTTTTGTAACTAGTTGTTCACTCGTGCATAGACGATATGACCATGACAGTTACTGGTGAAAGAAGTCCCACAAACCTTAGCTTAGGTGGCAAGAAACACTGGGTTTAAATTTCCATGTAAGCAACAAAAGCTAGGGTTTGCTGAAAAAGTAGCAGCTTTGACATGGCATGGCTCGCGGTCGTGGATGAACTATTCTTATCTATAAAATACTAATTCAATCAAATAAAGCACCCCTTTTCCCTAACTCCTTAGTTTAATTTACATTTTAATTAACTTGCCAAGCTGAACAAGCAAAAGACACACAAGAAATGGCAATGCACCGATGGCAAAGAAAACAAAAAACGAATAGCATGTAGCTTCTAAGCAACTGCATGTGTCTATCACCGTAAAAGTGTGTGTGTGTGTATATATATATATATATCATATAAGTCAATCTCCCAAAAGCCATTGTTTGGTGCAAATTTGGATATATATACACGCATACGGCTGGCATACGCGTAAGTTTTGCTCATGCATTGTTCTCTGTCCAAATGTAATGTCTCCTTCGTTCATGCTCTCATATTCAACAAACACGCACCAAAAGCGCACCTTACCTATAATTTATGCCTACTCCTCATGTCCTTTTCACCACCAAATTCACCATCCACACATTCAGATTCAAAGTGGTTTAAAGAGGGAATTTAATTAGTTAATTACCACATTATTGCTCCTTAACTTTGACACCATGTAGAAATTATCAGAAAGACATGCCAAAAGTCCACTTCCAACAACTTTGGTAATTATTTTAGTTTTTAAAAAATGAAAATTGAAAACTAAAAAGTAAAAACTCAAAACCAAAATTTGAAAACTAGAGAAAGTAGTTTCACTTCATTTTTTTTTTTAAATAAAAAGTAAAACGAAATGGTTATCAAAAAACTTTTCATCGAATAAATAAATACCCGAATATTATGATAATTTGGTAGTCTAATAATCATGTTGATCCATTAATTTGTTGAAATGATGTCATTTCTTTGTTTTGTTATTTTGATTTTACGATGAAATGGATGTTGCATCGGCAGGTAAGTGGGTAGGTTGTTCTTGTTTAACTGATGCTATGTTGTTGTCATGTTGACTAACTTCTCCAAACAATCAAACAAACTAAGGAATAAACATTTGGCTTTGACATTGTAAACCTTTCTACAACTTGCAATGCAACAAGCATTAAGCAACTTAGTTAACAGAATGAGTCATTATTTATATTAATTCAATAAAAATTATACTAGTGCAGACACAGGCACAGCAAACCAAAACGAAATGTTTAATTTTGACTTTGTATTGTGCAAGAATTAGGGATAACAATTTCTTACACGACTTGTTAATTCGACACGACACGAAAATAACAGGTTTTTGGTCAACCTATTATCAATTCGGATCATTATCGGATAACCCGTTAAAGTGTCGGGTCATTATCGGGTCAGTCGTTAAGAACCCGACAAGATATCGTGTTCTAGATCTAGATATTAGGCATGACAATTTCTTGCATGACTCGTTAACTTGACACAAAATTAAATGACATAACCCGTTAACGAATCAGATTATTTTGGGTCACCTATTAAGAACCCGATATCTTAACGGGTTTGACACGACCGGTTAAGATAACGAGTATAACATGAAAGCGACAAACACGACCCTTTTTCTAGCCTAACAAGAATAGAACCAAAGAATTTTCAATGTACTTAAAAGACGAGCTAGTACACCACGTGTTATAATATAAGTGTCATGACACTCAAAAATATATATTATCTCAACCTATATTATGACACATAATGCACAATCTTGTGCTTCATGTACATTAAAAAAATGGACACTTTGGATGCGGTCCCTAGCTATTACTATTCTTTAATTGAAACCTTGTTAGTTTTTAGTTTTTGATTGAGGTCCCTGACATTAATGTAATAATGTAAGTTACTATATTTTTTTAATTAAAAATTAAAAATTGAAATTTGTAATTGTTTATATTAATGAGATTTTAAATAAAACCCATAATTTATGGGATTAAAAATAATAAAATATAAATTATACTCTCTATTATATTGTGTGTGTGTGTGTGTATATATACATATATGTAACATCCCACATCGTCCAGGGGAGTGATCCTTAAATGTATATTCTCATCCCTACCTAGCACGAGGCCTTTTGGGAGCTCACTGGCTTCGGATTCCGTTGGAACTCCGAAGTTAAGCGAGAATGAGGCTAGAGCACTCCCAGGATGGGTGACCCACTGGGAAGTTGCTCGTGAGTTCCCAAGATGGGTGACCCACTGGGAAGTTGCTCGTGAGTTCCCAAGATGGGTGACCCACTGGGAAGTTGCTCGTGAGTTCCCAAAACCAAAACCGTGAGGGAATGGTAAGCCCAAAGAGGACAATATCGTGCTACGGTAGTGGAGAGGGCCCGGGATGTGGTGGACCCCGGGGCGGGATGTGACATATGGTATTAGAGCCAATCCCTAGCCGGAAGTGTGCCGACGAGGACGTCGGGCCCCTAAGGGGAGTGATCCTTAAATGTATATTCTCATCCCTACCTAGCACGAGGCCTTTTGGGAGCTCACTGGCTTCGGATTCCGTTGGAACTCCGAAGTTAGCGAGAAAGAGGCTAGAGCACTCCCTGGCTTCGGATTTCGTTGAAACTCCGAAGTTAAGCGAGAAGGAGGCTAGAGCACTCCCATGATGGGTGACCCACTGGGAAGTTGCTCGTGAGTTCCCAAAACCAAAACCGTGAGGGAATGATAAGCCCAAAGCGGACAATATCATGCTACGGTAGTGGAGAGGGCCCGGGATGTGGTGGACCCCGGGCCGGGATGTGACATATATGTATGGGTACATTAACCAAAATTAACAAAAAAAATTATTGTACCAAAACATGGATACATTCTCAAATCAACGAAAAAGAATGTACCCATATAAGTTTAAACATGGATTAAAAATTTTGAATGGATTTTATATTAAAAAAAGGGTATATTTTACATATAACAAATTGATATATTTGAGAATTGGTACATTTAAGATTAAAAAAATTGAAAAATTATATGAATGGGTACATTTAAGATTAAAAAATTGAGAATCTTTTTATATATAAAAAAAAAACTAATAGGTACAAACTTAATTTAATTTAATTTTTTATTATTTTGGAAATGTTTGAATTGAAAATTAATTAGAAGTTTAATAGACGTGTGAGTATTAAACCCTAAATTAATTACTAATTTTTATATTAAAAAATTATATAATAAACAAGTAAATTCATTATCACATTAATGCTAGGGACTTGAATCAAAATTTGAGAACTAATAAGGTCTTAGTCAATGAACAGTAAAAACTAGGGACCGGATACTAATTTTTCCTTAAAAAAATATATATATCTTTTGAATACAACACAATACTAAGATTACAAAGATTTCTTTGGCACGAGCAAATACAACTTTAGAAGCATACGTTATTTTACTTTTTAGTCACCATCTAAATTCGTGTTGTTTATTTATAATTAAGAAGAGCCTTCTCACTTTACCAGGAGTGTCGTGACCAAGTACATTTTGTCATGTTACAATTTACATAACGTACATGCACAATATGTGATGAATATCTTCACGAATATAAATTCACATCGAAAGCATTAAAAAATAAATTATTATATCTCATTTATATTGAATGGTTTCATTCTTAATTGCACTGAAGATTTTTGTGATAAAATTCAATATTGATCGGTTTGCAGGTGGTTAAGTTGGGACAATATCAGTATAATTAGTAGTGAATCATTGATTCAACTTTGAAATCTTGATGAAAAAGTTGAACCCTCCAGCCTCATTGTTTACTAGTGATCCAATATGACATAAGTGACAGAAGACTATAAATGAATCGAATTCTCAACCATGTAGTGTTCCCCGTCCATGGTTTCATGCAAAACTCTCCTTAAATGGGGTTAATATATAGGAAAACTAACAAAAAAAAAAAACTCATCTTTTAACGAAAAGTTTTTTTTAAAGGTATAGTGAATAGTGCCAGTTAAAGGTAAAAATGTGGTTTTTCGTTAAAAGTAAACAGTACTGGGAGTGTTTTGTTAAAACTCTCTTAATATATTGGTCTCTCAAGTGTTTGAAATATTTGTTACAAGATTGCAGTGGTTGTTGAGTCACAACTATAAACTCACAAGTAGATAAGGTGGGCAATCCAAATATGTGAGTAGTAAAAGTTGCTTCTTTTTTCT